TTATCACATATTTAATTTGAACAGAGATGAGAAAGAAAGATCTATACAGTCAGCAGAAAAACTCATCTATTTCTTTATATCATATACAGTATATACACTGTTAATTAATTAATTACTATTACTATACAACAAAGATAACTTCTAATCTGATAATCTTAAGAGTATCAGAACTATACTCTTAAAGAGAAGAATATTATCATACTTTCAGCTATGCTAGAACTCTGTTACAGTTTTACATAGCTTATCACTTTTATATGAATAATTTCATTCTGTTTAAACTGGTTTTCAATCACTCTATAACATTATTTAAATATATTATAGAAAGATCTGATTAATGAATATAAAAACTCTACTTTTATACAAGATCAGCAGATTACACTTTCTTGACAGTGAGATATCACTGAGATATCACTTCAGCTATTCTCACTCATGAAATGAAAGAAGAGTATTCACTCATTATCTATATAAAATAGCTAGATGCTGACTTCTTATTAAAGAAGTCAGTGATTTGGTTTTTCTTCTACTGAAATATATATAAGAGTTACTGCATTTCTCATATAATCTTCTTAGTATACTAAGTATTATATCTGTGATATTCTCATAATAACTCTGTAGCCTACAAGCTCACTATTCAAGCAAGATAGTCAAGCTCATTTATACAGCTTCTTAAACAACTACTTCTACATGATATCACTGACTAGTCATCACTTCGGTTCCGTCATGTTACAGTTAACTGTTTGTCTATGAGTTCATATTCAATCTGATAATATAATTGCATCTAGACTGACCGTGTGACCGTGTCTGAGATCAGGATCAGAATTTTTGATAGTCTTATTACTAATTCAACTAATCTCATTACATGGTTTTAACATTAGATAGTAGTCTCATACTGTCTCAGTGAAACTTACTGTCTAGTCTTGTCACATTTTTCAAATGAGATCATGATTTTCACTTCTCAATTTAAATTATTTTTATTGCTTTAAATGACTTTAAATCTCATTTGAGTATTATCAAAAAGTGTTACTTTTTAAAAAATTAAAAATAGTGTAAAAAAACCTTAAAATGTCTAAAAATAGTAACTTTATGCCAAGAATGAAACTAAATGAGATCAAATAAAACCACTTTCTCATTTTTTTCAAGTCATGGTTTCATTTTGAGATTTGATATATAGTTACTTTGCATGTTTTTTTAATGACTAGTTTCAGTGAAATTCACATCAAGAAATGCATAAGATCAGATCACATGAAATTAAATATGAAATTCATGATTCTGGCGGTCAGTCTAATTGTATCTGACTTAGTCGGCTAATTGCAGCATTGTTTTTTCAGTTATTATTGAAGCTTAATAACTCTGACAGATCTTCTGACTTGATATATTTCATGCTTAAATTCTCATTATATGCAGTGATCTTAGATAATGTGTACACTTTTAAAGAGATTGTGAACAATTATAATAAGATCTTCAGATTTGATATAATTATCTATCTGTATAAACATTCAATTTCCTGCTGCAGATCTATGACCTAATTTTTCCTATTCTTATTAATAATAGCAATTATGTCAGTGAAGCTCTTTATAGTGAATACTTAATTTATGATGAATATTAATTGTTACTTAACTTCTGTCTTAGCCTGTCACTGTGTATACAAGGCCTTAATCTTATTTAGAATTCTTGTATATATATGAAGTTTCACTTCTGATTCAGTAATCTCAGCTGCTTTTCTTACTACTTTGAGTAAATTCTCTGAGAGGTTCTGCATATCTTTCAGTTCAGATAGTAGAGAAGAGTGATTATATTAACTAGAAAAGATATTCATTTGAGTGATTTCTCATTGATTATATAATATCTATCATTATATTATTATATCATTATATTATTATATAATTTCTGATTTCTGTTTTCTATTATTATTATATGACTTCAGTAATGATTATCTCTTTTTTATTCTTCTAAGTAGAGAGTGATCTTCTTTGAATTTAGTTCATCACTTACCTTCTCTTTCTTACATCTCATTCATTCACATACATGATATTCATCTGAGTGTGAAGTTTTTCCTCAATAAGCAGAGTAGTATCATTCAGATGCTCTTTTATTTACTGCTTCTTTATACACTATTTTTTAATATGTTTTAGAATCACACTGACATGATAACTACAAATTGCTTTGTAAACAGAATTATCACACTCTGAAGAAGCCTGCACTTCTCATCAGTTATTAGAAATGCTATCACATGTGATTCAAAGATTGCTTGAGTCAGTGTATAATCACAGGTGTACGCTGGCTTCTTATATATGTTATACTAAATTAATTAGTGGCCGCTATGACTCCTTCACATTTGTAAGCATATTTAGAAGTGTAAGCATGTTCGGAAGCAGCCGCGTTATTATCCGGCGGTTATACGTTCTCCCGAACCACATTACATCAATATGTAGATATTGTCAGAAACACTCTCTCTCTATTATCTCAGTGAAAAAACTTCACAGATAAATAAAGATATACACAGATTATAAAAATAAGAGCTGTTATAGAAAAAGAGAAGAGAAAATAAGATTCTGCAGACAGATCTGAGATATTTATACTACTTTAAAAAGATCTATTTACACTCTAAGTAATTCTGTGAAATAGTTAGATTACTTTAGTAAATAAAGAGTAATTATAAATCACAGATCTGAATCTTTCTATGTGATTATAAAGAGTAATTACAGACTATGTATATGTTGATTCTATAATTTCACAGAGTTAATGAAAGAATGAAAAATTTCTTACAACTCTATATTATCAAAGAATAATTATTTATAAGAATAAATAAAAGATTAACTTATAAATACTTCTCTTTAATAAGAATTATCTCATAAGAAGTGATTTAACATGCAGAATGAATCTGTGTAACAGTTATATAGAAATCTTCTAAAAGAATAATTAAGACTTAAGTAAAATTCTCTGAATTGAAAGATGTAAAATAAATCTGTGTGACAATTATATAAGAATCTTATGAAATAATAATTGAGAGTTAACTTCAACTCTTCTGATTAAAAGATATAAGATGAATATATATAGTAGTCAGAGAAAGATCTGCAGATTATAAAGAATTTTATGAAATAAGAAACTGAGTAATAGATTCTTTTCTCTTAATAGTAATAAGAGACTTCTCCTCACTGAGATTTTTTATAGATATGAAGAGTTATTAATGAGTATTACTACAGTGCTGAGTCTGATTCTATGAAATTACTCAGTAAAAGACTTCACAGATATAACTTTAGAGAGAAAAGAGTATATAAGAAATTTTACTTCTTACAGATATTTTATCTTTATTACTATCTCTTATGTAATTAATAGAGTTAGCAGCTCTTGACTATATATAACTATATAGACTAAAGTTCATGACTACTATTTATAACTCAGCTTGAATACTATTATACATTCAATCTCTATATCTATCTTTCTACTATGAATACCTCTAGTAGCTATTAGTTCATATTATACTAAGCTGTGAATCACTGAATAATCACCTACAAGTACTTATTCGTACACATTATCCGCAATAAAGAATGCGTTTTTTTGCAAAGAATATAAATTTATTAACTGATAGATTTAGAGAAAATGAAATATTTTAATACAAAGTAAGAGTTTTTCTGAAAAAGATGAACTACTCTTGTTGAAATATTAATATAATATTTTAAAAAGAAAAACATACTCTTCAGATTATAATCTGTAGTATAGTAGAAAATTATATTAATAAAAATATTTATAAAAAGCTTAATATAGTGATTGATCACATAATTTAGAGAGATTGTCACAGGTAATAGCTGCAGTAGTCAATAAATTCATTTAATGAAATTGAAACAGTTAGTTGAATAACTGATATTAATCTTCATTCTTTTCTTTACAGATGTTCTCTACTGTATTTATATTTTTTATACTTTTCTCTACATTTATTACAATTAATACATTCATTACAATCTATACATTTATTAATATACTATATTTATTATAGAAAAACTAACTTTTTCATGCAAAAACCATTATAATGTGATATCACATACATCTTATTAAAAATATTTAAATGCTCTAATTTATATCTTCAGCTCAAATCAATTTTCAAATCTTCATTCTTTTTTTCATTCTGCTCTTTTTATACATTCTCTACAGTATTTACATTTCTTATACTTTTCTCTACATTCATTTTTGATCTCTATGTTCATAGCATGCACTACTAAATTCTCTGTAACATAATCTCATATGATGTCATATGCATCTCTTTGAATTTAAAGATTGAGCCGCTGGCTCTGCAGCCTGTATGATTCTGATTAATCTGATAATAGTCATAGAGATGATACTGGTTGAAAGAGAGTGATAGAGGCAGTAGAGAGAGTAAAGAGTGAAAGAGATGAAAGAGGTAGAAGAGGTAGAAGGGGTAGATGAAGTGAAAGGGGTGAAAGGAGTGAAAAGAGTGGTAGAAGTGGTAGAAGTGATACAGGGTGAAAGAGAGTGATAGAGAGAGAGAGTGATAGAGGCGGTAGAGATGATGGTGATGATAGAGAGATTAGAGAGTAGAGGGTGAAAGGGGTGGTAAGAAGAGTAGAGGTAGAGAGGGTTGCGGGGCGGTAGAGGCAGTTGTGGTGGTAAGAGGGTAGAATTCATTTATTAATATAAAATAAGAAGAAAAATAAGTGTATAATATCTTCTATCTAATAAAACTCAAAGTGTTTAGCTATATTATAATATAAATAAATAGAACTTCTGTCAACATCAGCTTCTCTAACAGAGAGAAATATCATCTACAGTGTAAGCAGATTTTAATCTTGAAACTCTCTCTTTATTCTCTTTTACTCTCTTTCTTTCACAGTGATATTATACACAAACTCGAGTAGATGATGACGGAGAAATGTGATGATGATGAACAGAAAAGCTGACAGTAATGAGCTAACAGCTTAATTGTTACACTAATGGTAACTAACTATCGCGCTAATTGTGCCTTGCTGCCAGATGAGGGGATAGAGTGCTTTTCAAAGTTCATTGAGTGGATGAGAGACACAGCTTATGCACTGCTTTCAGTCTAAATTTTTATCCATTTGAACTCTCTCCAAGTGACAGGCAATCTTATACTCTATTCTCAAGAAGGATCTTTTCCTCTCTTTCTCACAACGGCCAAGAAGCCTATCCGCTCTTCCACTAACTAGCGAATGAGACTCAGTATACACACAGGCCGAAACAGCGCAACAAGACAGAGCAGATGCTCCTTCCTATCCGCCATCTAGACGGATATTTACTTCTTCTTCGATATTCTGTCAAGGGCAACGATGAAGCCTGCTGTAGCCCACGGCGTGGGAAAGACGCTCCTGCTGAGCGTGTCAAAGCCCCTTCTATTTATTTCTTCCTCTCTGCGAGTACTTATTGGACACGCGCAGATATACACACTGTTTGCCTGGGTATTATGCCTTCAGGTTTTCATATATGCGTCTACTACTATATCTTTCATCTTACTGAACCGCAGCTCTTTACGAGTCGGGCAGCAGCTCTTAAGGTACTGCTGTTAGTACCCCTGGACTTATTTGAGTATTCATTGCGCAATTTCTTCGAGACTATTCTCGCTGCCCACCCCTCTACCCTGTAACTATATCAGACTACCCTATAATAGTATACAAAGAAAGCCCAGAACAAGGAAGAAATATCGTGATTCACGATGGCTTTCCTCAATCTCGTTCCTCTCGCCAAGGGCAGCATATATCTTGCGCTCCTCCTATGTACCGCGATCGCCTCCAATGTTCCCCGCGCTCGAGCAGGACAGAATCCCGTCCTTATTATTGACACATTTACACATGGAGGACGGAATGACCTAGATGCCTGGCATGGTAGTGGTGAAAATATGCCCATGGTATGGGCCGACGGCTATGTCGAACTTTCTCCCACCAATGCCGACCAGAACTTCCATACCCAACTCACGAGTACCTGTTTCGACCTTACCCCGTTCAAAGACATGTATCTGCACATAGTCTGTGAAGGGGCAAGTCATTTTACCATCTCCATAACGCAAACCAACTCCCAATGCGACGCTTTCAAGAACCCTTATCCGGAAACATGGGATGATATAGAAGCCCGCAGATATCAGCAGGGTAATGATATCTATATTCCAATCTCACATTTTAATATCGACTATACCCGTGCTTTGTCCGTATCGTTTAAAGGGTTCTATCTCCCGGAGAAATTGAAGGTCTCGAAAGTGGAAATCACCGCGACGCGGCCTAGAACATTCCCTGCCCCTGAAAAGCTGCCAACCGGGACTCTTTGGCTGCGATGTAAACGCCCTAACTCATTCGCATTTGGTATTGACGATGGCTCTCCGGCTTTGGGACGGCAGATGCTGGACATTTTGACTTCGGAGGGAATCAATGCGACGTTCTTCACTGTGGGGAATGGATTGGCGGTACTAAACTCTGGGTGGACCGATCTATACAGGGACATGGCGGCCAGGGGTCATCAAGTTGCGCTCCATACATGGTCGCATCCTCCGTATGTTATATTTCTTTTTGTGGTGAGAGTCAGTTTTCATTGGCGATTCATTGCTCACAAATGTCTAGGATGGAGGAGCTTAAAACTGATGCGGAGATCGATGATGAGATTGTTAAGAATCTCCAAATAATGAGGGAAAAGTTGGGAATTGACTGTAAGTTTTACTGGTCGTTTAGCTGTTTGCCTATCCACTTTGACAAATTGAACTAATGTTTATAAGCTCGATACTTTCGTCCTCCGTATGGGATCCTTGGAGCACGAACCCGCCAGCGACTCGCCTGGTTCATAAAAGACCCTCAAATTATCAACTGGAGTGTTGACATCGAAGATTGGCTGTGGGCCGGTTCACCCACTCCTGAAAAACAAGTTAAGGCATTCCAGCGTGACGTGGATAAGGGTGGGGACCTGGTGGTCATGCATTTCATTAGCGAGGATACGGTGAAGTACACGAGAGATGTGATCGACATTGCGAGGAAAACTGGGAAGAGGATTATGAGAGTTGACCAGTGTATGGAGGATCCAGAGGCGCCCCCGCTTGATTAAGAGGTCCTGCTACACTTGTGGTTGGTAGTATTGAAAAGATGGACTGACTTCAGTTGATATTGCTCTCGGTCCCATTGTTATTATTATTATTATTGCTCTAGATGGTTACCCATGCTTCCGGAGTTGGGGAGATCCATCGAATGTGTTTCTTGTCTTGTTTGAAAATCAAACTTCTCCCTTATAAATTGTCTCCTTAATGAGCAGGGTTAATGTTTGATATTCTTGTGTCTTTCGGCGCGTTGGCGTTTATTCTTACCAGGGGGGATTCCCAATCGAGTTAATTGGTATTCACGTATATTCAAATTCGCAGCCGTAGCATGTTGTACTAAAATTGAAGGGACTTCCAGATGTGAAAGGGAAAGGTGAACAATCACTGAGAGTGTACATTAATGAACAGAACATATAAAATAGCTAATCTGAAGAATCAATCATGCTATTCACTATTTTAACATAATCAATCATTCAAGGCCTGTTTTCACTCAATATCTACTCAAGTCTTAATTTTTCATTCATTTTTAATTACTTATAAAATGTATTAAAAAATTTATCTAAGCAGTAATTAATAATTTAAATTTATAATTATTTCTAATTATATATTATAGATAAGAAGATTATTTTTAATTTTCTATAATTGAAAGAAAATAATTTTTTTATTAAATGAATTAGTTAAATATAATAGTATTATTTTATAAATTAAAAGTCTATAAGAAAAAAACTTTATATAGTGAAAAAATATTTTTCATATTAACTTTTATATAAAGAATGATGAATAGACTAGTTATCAGAACTATGAATTTCACATTTAATTTCATTTAATCTGATTTCGTACATTTCTTGATGTGAATCCCGCTGAGACTAATCATTAAGAAAACATGCAAAGTGACTATATATAGCGTGCTTCCGCCCTCTATTCAAGTCAATTCTCTATTCAACTCTAGCTTCTGCTTCATCTCTTACTGTTTTCTGAAGCTTTCACTTCTATCTTCTTCCTCTGCTCTTTTCTTCATATGCAATTACTTCTTCTATGAGAGCTTTCACTTCTTTTCTACAGAGCCTTCATTCTTCTCTTCATATATAATTACTTCTTCTATAAGAGTGTTCACTTCTTCTCTACAGAGCTTCTGTTCTGCTCTTCATAGATAATCACTTCTTCTATAAGAGTTAATCTTTATAAAAAAAATCACTGTATATATAAGAGTGTACACTCATCTCTCATCTTTTAGAGAATTAGATAAGTTTTTACTCTTATATCTGACTCTACATAGCAGCATACACTATAATTTGATAGTATATCTTATTAAGAATCAAGTTCTTCTAGCCTCTGTAGCTTCTGCTTCACTCTCAATATATATAGTACTAATGATTGAATCAGACTGCAGACACTGAGAATTGACTAGCTGATAATCAGTCTGATTAGTTATTCTATCTTCTTTTAACACTGTAGCTAGTAATTGATCTAGCTTGTAATTATTCAACTGTTCTATCTTCTTCAGTACTGCAGCTAGTGATTGATCTGATCTGCAGTTATTTAAATCTATCTCATTTAATACTACAGCTGATGAGAGGTCTAGCTAATGATTATTTAAGCATCTTTCACTTCAGAATACTATAGCACTAGTAATCAGTCTAGATTATAATTATAGTCACAGTAAACTTATCTGATTCACACTCTTATACAACTTCATCAGTCTCATTACAATAATAAAGCAGGATGAATAAATCACTCAGAGCAGCTCTCATTAATCACTTTCTTTCACTAAATCAGATAAGTTTATCAGCAGAATTGAATAACTTATCTGAGAATTTACTAATGAATCTGACTTGAGATAAACTTACTTATAAACAATAACTGAAAAGCATGCTATTATAATTACAGAAGTCTGACAGAATACAGACAGATAGTATAAGAGTGTCAAAAGTTAAGTGATGCTGTATAATTGTATCAAAATGAAAGACATTCTTATAAGTGTATCAGTCAGACATTATAATAATATAAAAACAGCTCTTAACTTCACTCTGATAGTGAAATGAAAGAATATCATTGATCTCTGATTACAGATCTTCTACACAGATATCATAAAGAATACTAAGAAGAGAAATTCAATATTCTCAAGCTTTTATGAATTTAACTATCAGAATCATACTTCTTCTGATGAAGCAGCAATACTAGATACAATTAAGAAGTTAGAACAGCTAGAAGTCTGACTAGTCTGATAAGAGAGTGAGCTCAATAAATATAAACATTAGCTTGATCAGTGAAAGAAGCAGTTAAATGAGTATATCACTCTCATTAATGAATGTATCAGTAAACTTCAAGAGAATCTCAAACAATTGACAGACAGAAGAAGTAGATTGATAAAAGTGTGAAATAGCTTCTATGCTGAGAAAGTCACACTCATCACTTAAAGATAGAAGCTGAATCATTATCAGCAGATGAACTGTTCAGCTCAGAATAATAGAACAGATATCAGAGCTGATAATTCTCTTAATAAGTCTACACAGCAATTAGATGCCTTCTTTAAGAAAGGCTTTAAATCATCTTCTAGAATCTGACAAATGTCAGCAATTTCACAGGAATCATGCAGTGCTGAAGACAGAATACATCATTATAATCTAATAAGAGACAGGATTAATCTCCTCAGAGAAGCTGACACTGTATATTTTACTTATAACTTAGAGAGAAACTGAATGTACAGAAATCAGATATTCATTCATAACAATCTTAATCTTTCACTTAATAGTGAACTTTATTTATTCACATGAAGTGATGATAGATCAGTGAGATTACAGACTGATAATATTATATTATTTAACTCAGCAGAAGCAGATGTAATAACATTTATCAATTACTTAGAATTCATTATTATACAGAAGAGAGATAATATGATTCTCTATGTATTCTCTCTATATCTAAAGAGTCAGGCATTGAAATCATATAACAGTCTGTCTATTGAAATGAGAAAGAATATGAATATCTCTCTCTCTATCATTATTGATGAGTTAAAACATGAGTTCTAGCTATCAGAAGAGAAAGCTTAAATGAAAGCTCAGACTCTGTGTTTTTTCTTTAAGAAGTCAGATAAACTGTCTCTGATATTATATATCTTACAGAAGATTAACTTACTGTGAGTCATTACAATCTCTGATCTCATTATAATAAAGAGACTCTTATGAGAGAGTTTAGAGTTTAATCTTTTCTTGATTATACTGCTTATTCTCACTGAACAATTGAATAACTTCTGATAATAAATTAGAGATAATGAGTCAGCTGTCTGATATATCTGAACTAATTATAAGACTCAATTCACTGACTATATATATAGTTTCAGATGTTTTGAACAGAATAATGACTACTGTCTGTATTATATCTCTCTATTTAAGCAGATAGAAGCTATAAAGCTGTCTGTGTCTACTGCAGAGACAGCAGTAATTTCTCTGAGTACTCTCACAATAAGTAAGTTACTGATTCAGTGTATAATAGAAGAATGAAGATCACTGACATCTGTAGCAGAGTGCTACATCTGTGAAGACTCTCATTACATTAATCACTGTCTTAAAAAAGAGAAGAACAGTAATTATTCAGTGAATTAAGTCAAACTGAAGAGTATCAGAGAAGATAATAATGACCTGCTCAATCTAAATCTCAGTCTAGATTCTGACAGTGAGCCAGAAAAATAATCAGTGAAATAGATACTAAGAGGCTCATCTTATCTACAGACATTTTCTCAGATAATTATCAGAATATCTTTAATACTGATATATATACAGTTGCAGTGTATGACATCTCTGTAAATGATTGAGAATATGTTAGTGAACTACAGTATTTGTCTTACATCTTTCTCATCATTTCTGTCATTACATTTAGACTGACCGTGTGACCGTGTCTGGGACCAGGACCAGATTTTTTGATAGTCCCATTACCAATTCGACTGATCCCATTACACGGTTTTAACATTAGATAGTAGTCTCATACTGTCCCAGTGGGACTTACTGTCTACTCTTGTCACATTTTCCAAATGGGACCATGATTTCCACTTCTCAATTTAAATTATTTTTATTGCTTTAAATGACTTTAAATCTTATTTGAGTGTTATCAAAAAGCGTTACTTTTTAAAAAATTAAAAATAGTCTAAAAAAAACCTTAAAATGTCTAAAAATAGTAACTTTATGCCAAGAATGGGACTAAATGGGACCAAATGGGATCACTTTCTCATTATTTTCAAGTCATGGTTTCATTTTAAGATCTGATATATAGTCACTTTACCTGTTTTTTTGATAGCCAGTCCCAGCGGGATTCACGCCAAGAAATGTATGGGACCAGATCAAATGAGACCAAACGTGAAATTCATGGTCCCGGCGGCCAGTCTAATTACATTACAAGACAATCTCTCTGTTTGCATGAGTACAGACATGAATATATCACTTATTAATACAATAATAGCAAGCCTATTCTTCTCTCATTGTTGACTGACCTCTATGTCACATGATTGATATGTGAGCATTCAAGAAGTTAGCTTAAGAGCTGATGAATCAAATCTATTCATAACAACAGATCTTATCTTGAAGATAGATAATAATTCTCATTTCATTGTTGAAGATGAATTCCACTTAGTATGATATCTCAGATGCAATATAATCATAGCTAATGATGTATTATCATTGATAAAAGTAACTATCAATATTCACAGTGAGCTTGTTACATTTTATGAAAGATATTTCATAAATATCAAGATCATCAGAGATGCTATTCACGCGGGTAGATACTTATCAAATTCACAGCTGCTCTGACAGTGAAAGAAGATTGTCATTTATGCTGAAAATGCTGCCATCATTCATTATTCTGACTTGGAAGATTCTCTGTTTCCTATCTTGTACATTGAATTGCATTTGGCGGATGCAGAAGACCAGAATAATTCACTTCAAATTCTCATAGCAGATACTCTCACTGAGTGAGTTTAAGCAGATGTATCAGATCACTGAGTGACAGAAGATCAAGCAGTTATTCAAGTGATCATCAACTGACATCACAAACTATTTAGCTTCAGCCTAGGTTTATTTTCAGATAATATTAAGATGCAACTGTGATTCATTGATGAGAGCAACTTTTTCAGCCTGAAACAGAGACTCTATTCTCTGTCTCAAAGAGATCACAAAGCTGCTAACCAGATTCTGAACTCACTTCTGTAAGATAGAAGAATTGAATATGTTTCTCTCAGAGACAGAAACCTCATTGCTTCACTCATCTTTGTAATCTAGCTTAGAGAGAAGCTGAGAGTGATGATTGATTTGTGAAAAGTAAACACATACTTATTATTATTATTATTATTCTTCAATTATAGATGTATACAGTCAGAGACTATGACATCTATCTGAGAACTTTTAGTTCTCAGGGTTTTTCCTATATCTGTAAAGTTAACTATTATACATTCATCAATTTCAGA